AAGATTAAGGTGGGTAATTATTTAATTATTGGACAGTATAATAATTATTACGACACATATATAAGGGGGTAAAGGAAAATGACATATGGCGCAGAAGATATAACTTTGAACTATACACAGCATACAATGAACCCGAGATCGTAATATCCATAAAGATCGGACGTCTGCGCTGGATGTTGGATGTTGAACGGATGTTGGAGACTGAAACGCCAAAACATATAATGAGGCAAACACTAGTATGGAGAAGGTCAAAGGGAAGACCCAAACTTAGATACTTGGAACAAGATCTGAAAACACTTAAGATGACCAACTGGAAAAACAAAGCAAAGAACAGAGCAGAATGGCGGAAAATCCTAGAACAAGCCAGGACCCACAAAGGGTTATCGAGCTACTGATGATGATGATGATATAATAATTATTACGCAAAATTAAAATTTTCAAATGAGAGCTGAAACCAATTATCTAATTTGGTTAAACATTTTATTAGTAATCCAAAAGCTAAACTACTATTGGTAAAAAATATTTAGCCGGAGTTGTAAAATCAATTTTAATATCGCTAAATGATAAGCCCAAAAGCAGTTCCACTGGTGTGCCATCTATTCCAGCTGCTTTGCCGCTTTTCATTTTTGTAATTGTTGATTCTATTTCTTCCGGAAGGAGTTCTGGTACCTCTTCTTAATTACTGATTGCTGAAGTGTTTAAGAGGCTTTGTATACGTCGCTGTAGAATTTGGTCACGAGTTGTATTATTTCATGTCTGTCTGGAATTCTGATGTTTTCGTCTGTTAGAACAACGATTTGCTTCTTCCCAATGAATAATGCTTTTCTTGTTTTCTTATAGTTTTTCTGTTTTCGATTGCATTTTCTACCAATGTTTCATTTTATTTTCTTATGTCTTCCTTAATACTTTTTCTTTTTGTCTTACAAAGTTTTGTTTTTTGTCTTCTTTGTATGGTGCTACTTACTTTCATTTATCATCTTAGTTTTAGCATTATTTTGGTTTTATCAGACAGTTTACTATGTTCATTTTGTTGTTGTGGGCCTCCGATTTCTTTGGCACTATGACGGATGATTTACATTAATTGAGAGCTCTCGATTTGGGCATGTAATCTGTCATCATTGTCCTTTTTATATTGTTAATATTTATACCGGTTACAGTTGGTCTTGTGAATCATTTTATTTTTTCTTATCTCATATCTAGAACAATTTTTGCTCTGATTAGTCTATATACTTTTATCTGCCTAGGCAGTGTCTTTGATGTATTTATAAGACTATTTATATATAATCTGTTGTTTATTTATGTTTGTTTCTGTTGTTACGTCTAGGATTTCTTTTAAAATTATTGGTTGTTATTTCCTTTCATCATAATCTTTTTGGCTTTACAACCCTGTGTGGGTCCTAGCCTCCCCAAGAATTCTCTTCCAGTCGTCTATATCCATCGCCTTCCTTCGCCAAGCACGTATTTCCATATTTCTCATATCTTGGTCTATGTTGTCTAGGAATCTTGTTCTGGGTCTTCCTCTTCTTTTTTGACCAATAGGTCTATCAAGGAGCGTTTTTCTAGCTGTGTCGGTTTGCTCCATCCGCATTACATGACCTACCCACCTCAGACGTCCTATCTTAATGTGTTTTACGATAACTGGTTCCTGGTATATTCTATAGAGTTCGAAGTTGTATCGTCTTCTCCAGACACCATTTTCATTTACCGCTGCATAGATTCGCCTTAGTATTTTTCTTTCGAAACATCCTAACATGTTTTCATTGCTTTTTGTTAAAGTCCAGGTTTCTGAACCATATGTTAGGACTGGGAGTATTATTGTTTTGTAGAGTTTTACTTTTGTATTTCTTGATATAATTTATGTAGATGTAAATGTAGATTTCAAAAGGAGATTAATAGCATCTATTAGCCGTGCAAATTCTGCTGTTTATTTCTGCGGTAGTGTCATTTTCAATATTGACGAGCGTTCCCAGGTATACAAATTCGGTAACTGCTTAGATGACGTCGTTTTCTATAACAAGTAACCGTAGTATTTGTGGTTACGTACCTATTTTATACCCCTCTCGTGTTGCATTTTCTATGCTAGGATTTGCACTTAGGAAATATGCTAGGATTTGCACAGAATTTTTATATATTGAACCGGTAGTTGTGATTTGTGACGTATGTATTACTTTTTCCAGAGCTAGATTGAATAGTATACAGGAGAGTGGGTCTCCCTGACGTAGCCCGTTATTTGTATTAAAAGGTTCAGAAAGTTTCCCCTGGATTCGTACTCTGCATTCAACTTTTTCAAGGGTTAGTTTGGTTAGACTTACCAACTGATTTGGTACTCCTAGGTCTATCATTGCTCTAAACAATTCTCTTCTATTTACAGAGTCGTAGGCTGCATTGTAGTCTATAAATATGTGGTGCGTGTCTACACCGTATTCCAGTGTTTTCTCTAGAATTTGTCTCAGGGTTGAAATCTGATGAATTGTTGATTTGCCACTTCTGAAACCAGCCTGGTATTGTCCTATTATTCGCTCTGCATATGGTGCCATACGATGGCATAGTATATTGGAGAATATTTAAAGATATCTCCTTTTTTGTGTATATTGCAAAGTATTTCAATATTCCAATATTTCCTTTCTAATGTATAAATTATACATATTATTGAATGAATACATTTATATACTTAGTAGAAAACTAATAATACCCTACAAAAAACTTTAGCAAGTTGTAAATGTAGTAGGTAGTTTGTTCTTATTTACCCTGTACTATTTTAAAAGTAAAACCTATTTTGTAATTGTTCAGTTGGATATGAGGTTTTATCTAATTAAAAATAAAAATAAATTATTAACAGCTTACTTTCATTAATTAAAACGTATCGATTTTTTAGGTTAATCTAGTTTTTCGTATATTTTCACTATCTCGTTTCCATATAACTTTTCATCATGCGACATTATTCCGGCCTGGCCCCGTTTTGTCATGAAAGATTTTGCGTTAGTTGTGGTTATCAAGCGCTTGCTCTCAATTTCAGTTGTTTTTGGACATTTGTGTAATCACTAGAAATTTATTTACTGTTTTTGTGCTTCAACTTAATAAAAATGTTAGTATAGTTTTACTACTTTTAATATTAATTATTTTTTATCTTTTACAACAATGTATTAAAAATACGTATATAATATGAAAATGTACAATAAGTACCGTGACTTACAAGAAGTTGCACCTAATAATTATGTTAAAATTATTAGTGAATAAACTTTGGATGTAATATGGAAAAATGGACGTAATAATTAAATCGTATATGTGCTTTTTATTTTTTTATGTTTTGATTATCTTTAGTCAGTTATCAGTTTCTTGTTTTTTTTTCGTCTTTTATTTCTATATAAAGGTTTCGTTTAAGAGACGTGAAATGCTTCTTAACTCCGCTGTTTTCGTTTTTCATTAATTTTTTATCAATATCTTAATTTGTGTCTGTTTGACAAGGAAAATGAATTTTATGTAGTCGGCTGTTTACCAGAAATCACAAAAATTTTAATTAAAAAATCTTTTATAAAAACGTACATTTATTTAAAAGAATCCTTTCGTAAGTCTTCCCCAACATAGGTTGGGAGTTTTATGTTGCCATGAAGTGAATATAATATAAAACCAATTTAATAATGTTTAAAGGGTTTTTACCCAGATATTTAGTGGCTTCACACAATGTATACCTGGTACTAGATACCTACTGATGATGAAATATTCATTCCGAAAGGTTCTGCGATGTAGCCCGAAAGAGTCGTGGCAATAAATATACTTTTTTTATAAAGGATTTTTATTTAAAACTTTTGTGTCTGAGTATTAAATTAATGCTTTTTGTCAGTTGTTATTTCGTAACAATAGATTATTTTCCATATTTAGAGGAGTGATTTGAAATTAATTCTTACTGACGTTTCGTCTGCGAGTGGTCTGCGATCACGGTAGACTTTATCAAATACCATGCGTCAACGAACGGAGGCCTATTCTCTCGAATGTGTCCAGTCACTCTCGGTTTGTCAGAATATTCATATTGCGTCTGTAAACATTATGTAGATAGTGATTTGAAATTCTATTAAGCTCCTTACTCTAGTCGTCAGAGATGAAACTGTCACTGGAACTCTAAAAATCATACGAACATACTGAATTTTGCTGAGAATATCAAAATTGGGACCCCAAAAAAGATGCAAAAATGTTTACCACTCCTACTCCCGGGCTTCCCCTACAACCTCCTTAGAAGGGAGGAGGAGAAATCTGTTTACTAAGAATCTGTACGCCGTAGAAAGAATTTTTCTAATAAAAATGTAGCTGCGATAATTTTGAACAAAAATGTTATTATCACTTTTTGTGTAGAATGAACCGTTTTCTCGGAAACAACGCTAACACCTTAAGCGACCGGTGGCTTTAAATATTAGTAACGCGCGCGAAATTCATTTTAAATAAAATTTGTATCAACTCAATGGGCTAATAAAGTCCATTATCAAAGCAATTATCAGGTATAAATGAGTAAAGCCACTAAATATGTGGGTAAAATCGCTCTAAATATGTATTGCTAACTTTGTAAATTAATACATTACAGTAGTGACAAAGTTAACAACATTTAAAGGGTTTTTACCCACCTATTTAGTGACTTAACTGATGTTTACCTGGTAACTGCACTGATGATGGACTTATTTGCCCATTATATACCTTTTATAAAGGTTTTTTTAAATAAAAGTTTTTATGACTCATGGTATACAGCCAACTACAGGAATTTTATTTTCCTTGTGGATATTAGAGAATAAGTTCTATTACGGTAGTTTAGAACGGGAAGAAGCCGAAAGTTGTATGAACATCCAATAATAATTATTATAAATTTAATTTAATCGGTAAACCTTATTTCTCTAAGTTCTCATTTGTTATCCGCTTAATTAATATTTACTAATGAAGGAAAATGATAAGTATTTACTTATATTTTTCCTATATTTCTTATCGTTTTATCATTGTAATGTATGTTTAATTTTTAGGGATTTTATGGAGAAACCAGCTACCATTCAGGATATATTAGGAGAAACCCCAATTAGCAATAATATTTCCCAAAACAACCAAAAAGAAGCACACGAATGTCCGTGTTGTAAAAATTCTAGTCGACTTTGTAATGCTGTGAAATGTGCTACACCAAAGATATTTTTTGATGATGGAGTTAGATCGGTAGATTTCGTTTTAGTATGGGATTCCTCGGACCATCACGCTACTATGGAAGAGTCATATGATAAAAGGCAGACGTTTGAGAGAAATTTACGAAAAGAGGGATTGGAGCTCGAGCATGCGCATCCAGAACAAAATGGTTTAAACTTTGTAAAGGTAAAATCTTTAGTCAGAGCAGAGCTATTAAATAGTCAGACCACATAAAATACAGCAAACGCTTGTTTGTATAAATGGGTAACTTGCGGTGAAAATACGCCATTTCGCGCATTTTACTATAAATGGCGTCAGAAATTGGATTTTTCGGTCCTCAGTTTTATGTTATATAGATTGTATAAAATTGCAATTCATTATATTTTAATATTCTTCTGCTTAACGGATCTTGGCAACTACTATCTGATACCAAGCATTTCTAATGGTGTTTGAACATTTTTGTATATAATTATTTTTTTGAATTTCTGTATAAGTAGAACTTTTTCCTTTCGATTTATTATCTTCAACCCATAAAATTTCAAGGTTGAAACGTGTTTTTGTCGAAGAAGAAAGTAAACAAAACGTTGATAAGAGAGAATATTTATTTTGGAGATTTGTGTTGGAGAATTTGATTTGTGCACTATGTCTGCTTGATTTTTCATCTTGCATTCTTACAGAAAAAGAGTAATTTAACGTCAGAACAAGCAGCCCAAATCGTAGTTTTAATTGGAGATCGACGAATGCATCAATATGTTGCTGATCTTTTGGAAATCCACTAATATAACGTTTCAAGAACTTGAGCAATGTATTGAGAAACTGGTGGTTACACAAGAAGACCAGTTCAAGAACGTCCCAGGTGCACGAACCTCGCAGATGACCGATATAGCCACACATCGTGTGGCATGTTTAAGGTTCGAACGAGAATATGTTGATTAGGATATTAGTGACTGGGTTTATATTGTTACCGATGAGTCAAGACGTATTCCAGTTTACAGACGTGCCGAGGAGCAATTTGCTCAGTATAACTTAAGAGAAGCGAAAATTTTGGAGGTGGCTCGATTATTGATATGGGAAAGCGTTAACTTGCAGGTCAAACAGAATTAACCGTGTTTTGTAGGGGACCCCTGACATCTGATCGGTATATAAGAGGTTTTTGAAGAAAATCTCGTGCCTTTTGTTTCAATTATTAGAGATAATTTCGTTCTTATGTAAGACAACGCTCACCCACACGTTGCTAGAATAACAATGTAATATCTTCAAGAGGTTGGTATTCAAGTTCTCGAGTCGCCAGCAGTCAGCCCAGACCTAAACCCAATTGGACATGTTTGGGATTACCTAGAAAGACCAATAAGAGCCCTTATGGCTACTCCAGATAACCTTGATGAACTGGGAATTGCTTAACGGATGAATGGGAAAATTTGGATTTGGAGTGCATATGTACGTTCTCCGATAGGAAGAATTCCACAGAGAATGAGAGACAGCATTAGAGCCTGAGGTGCTAATACCAGATACTAAATTATTCAATTCCTTATTTCACAGATGTGTATTTTACTGGAATAAATCACTGTTAAATATTCCTACGTTGCATTCCTTGGCGTTGCCAAAAAAATTTAGGAGGTACTAGATCAAAACTTCTAGACTTAATACATTTATACGATACTTTTTGCGATGTGTGTATGTTATATATAAAAACTTTATAGTTTACAAGTTATTAAAAATTTCAAGTCGAGAAATCGAAGCTTACTTTTAATTATCATAACTTTTTACATGGTCCATATTTCTCTAAAAGCTGCACAAGAAAGTTTGAACCTATTTGTAAAATTTACTATTGATAAAAATTGAAGAAACTTTTTTTGTCATTGAATTAACAAGCAATAAACAAATAACTTTTCGCCCTTGCATATTTCTAATAGTAAATTGTCAACAGCTTCAAACTTTATTTTGTGTGCAGCTCTTAGAGAAATATGCAACATGTAAAACGTTATGAGGACTAAAAGCTAAGATAAATATTCGATTTCTCGACTGAAAATTTTTAATAACTTTTGAACTATAAACTTTTTATATCCCGTCGTACACTGTCATTACAGCCACTAGACATATTTTATTATATACGCGTAGAAATAATATTTAAAAATTTCTATTAATGTTAACTTAAAGAAATACACAATAATAGGTTTCATTTAATTTGTATAAATGCATTATAAAGCGTTTTTATGAAGAACATCTGTTCGGAACACACTGTAACTGCAATCGAACGAAGGTGAAATTTTGGCATAAATTGGTAACACTTATTAGACGGTTGCGGTGTTGACACTTTTTGTACTTTATTATTTTGAATTTTAAAGTGAATATCTCTCGTTTTACATTTTTACCTATTTAATAAAATCTGTTCTTTTTAAAACAAAATTAGTGTGTTCTATTTCAAAAATGTCACGTAAGAATTTAAATAGTCGTTGTAAAGAGATGGCAATACTTTTGCAATAATTATGTGATCTATTTGATTTAAAATGGAGTCAGGATTTTTTATACTTTGGCAACTATGTCAACTTCGATCTCTGACGTAGATAATGACGTGCATAGGTAAGTAAATTAGATGAAGTATATATAATAACATTAATACCAACATTTTTTAGATAAATTTTGAGATAAAAAAAATTGAGTTCCGTGCCAAATTTTCATCGGTATTGTTTGCGTTGTCATTGCCATTGATGCCGGAAATGTTTCCAATATTGTATTTGTATATTGCGTCGAGTTAGAATCTATGGAGAAGCTATGAGCATATTAACGTATGTATTAAAAACGGCATAGGTAGGAGTGGCTAACTATAATACCAATATGGCGGTGACATCAGGGCCAGACTCAATAATAATAAAACTACTATACAAATATGACTAGTTATTCAGAAGATTTAATCATAATCTAAAAAAGTGCAATACATTTTTAATAAACTAGGATTTATTTATCCCGCGGTAAACACTAAAAACACGATATATTACACGTTGTTAATTACAACATAACAAAGTTCCCAAACGGCCAATCCAAGACGTGGAAACTAGGTATAACTTCACCTATTACATGTTAAAAAGAATGACCGAATTAGAAGAGGCAATCCGTTCCACATCGGTATTAAATAATACAAACTTATACCAAATCTAAATAAAGAACACTGAATTATTTGTTCTCAGCTTTCCCAAATTTTACGGCCGTTTAAAGAAATAACAAGTACAATGAGTGACCAAAAATACTTGAAGGGTAGTTCAGTGATTGTTATGGTACGCTGCCTGCAAGAATTTTGCAATAAAATTTTAGCAAACGGTAACCTTACATCCATAGTATCCGACGTAGTACAATTACTAATATCGGGTTTAGCAAAAAGATTTAAAGGGATAGAACAGAGTGGCACAAATGTACATTTATGGATTCACCATTTAAAGTGCAGGGTTTTTCTGATAAAAATGAAGATAAAAAAATAAAAGAAAATGTTAAGAAGCTGGTTACTTCTATAAATAACGAACAAGAAGATTGTACTATTGAAAATCAACCAGTACAAGAAAAAGAAACCAATAAAGATGACTTAAATCCATGGTGTATTTTTGATCAATTAATTGGAGATGGCTCATCTACACGTACACCTGTATCGAGAGTTCATTACAACGGTGGAAAAACCATCGCCATGTATATCCTAACTTAACCACTATATTCATAAAGTATTGTAAATGTGAACACATGTTCAAAATCTGGTTTAATTTGAAATAAAAAAAGAAGACGGTTAATAAGAAGTAAAGTAAAAAAAAACTTATCTTTTTTGATGTCAATTTAGACTATTCGCGATTTAATAATAACGTGTATTGTAAATGTGAACACATGTTCAAAATCTGGTTTAATTTGAAATAAAAAAAGAAGACGGTTAATAAGAAGTAAAGTAAAAAAAACTTATCTTTTTTGATGTCAATTTAGACTATTCGCGATTTAATAATAACGTGTAATGTAAATGTAAGTACGATTTACTATTTGTATTGTTTAGTTTATTTTTCAAGTTATAATAAATATATCATTAGTTTCTTTCACTTCAATAAATATACATATAAACGATAATAGCCATTATGTTTGTTTATGTAGGTACTCTCTTACATGAAACTACTTTTAAACATTCATAGTTACTTGTTTACAAAAATTTAAATTTTTAAATTCATTCATTTTTTTTGGAATCCTGAGAAAACTAACAAATATTTTTGAAAAATTTAAATGCAGAATAAAAGATCACATTATTACCGAGGGCCGAAAGTCCCTTAAAATAAACAAAGAGTTTTTTGAATGAGATATTTGAAATTAAAAATCACACTAATTTTTTTTCACCCCTATAACTTATTAAAATAAACATAGAAGTTTTCAGGGACTTTCGGCCCTCGGTAATAATGTATTGTTCCATTCTGCGTTTAAATTTTACAAAAATATTTATTAGTTTTCTCAGCATGCGAAAAAAATGAATGCAATTAAAAAATATTGGCCCGAAATTTTGTGCCTACGCTCTTGACGATAAAACTACCACGACTCACCTCTACTACTCGTTACTCGGTGTTTTTCACCAGACGGACGTTGCCAAATAATTATTGTGTATGAATATTTTTTAATGTGGCGTTATTGTATGCAGTTTATTATTTCATATTGGGAATAAGGCACAATGTGACTTTAAAATAAGCTTATTTTGATGTTTAGGTTTTTAATTCGGAAACCGTACTTAAAATACGAAACATTAATAAATTTTATTTATATAAAACGATTTCCGAAGTGGAAATCAAAATGTTATATTACACTTATTGTAAAGTAAATTAGTGGCATATTCCCAATAAAAAAACAGTAAGCTGCCATTTAAATCAATTTCGCCCAAATTTGATTATCTTAGAACATTGTTCAACTGCAAAAAACACAACAGGTCAAATAAAACCAATAAGTTTTGGCAACGTTGAACTTCCCCTTTTTTATTATTTCCACGCATGCAAGTTTAGCGATATAAAGGGCGGAGCTAATATACCTCTCTCTTTCTAAACAGCTGTTTCTCACTCCATCTCACGTAAGGTCCATACCGACCATAAACTTTTTCCTACACTGTATATACATATATATATATATATATATATATATATATATATATATATATATATATATGTATATATATATATATATATATATATATATGTATATATATATATATATATATATATATATATATATATATATATATATATGTTTATATGAACCGATGAGTCCTATCGTGTTTTTGCTGTCTACTATCTTTTTCTACTCCGGTCCTGAATCTTTCCTCTCCAGTTTGCATATCCATCTTTGATATTAATCCATCTTTTTTTAGTAGTTTTTGGCCTTTCTCTTTGTCTGTACATTACTGGTTTCCAGTTTAATACTTTCTTAATAAGTGCATCGTAGTCTCTTCTTTGTATGTGTTTAAACCATCTCAGTCTTTGTGATTTAATAAATTTTATTGTCTTCCCCTTCGGTTATATTTCTGATTATTTATTTTATTATATTTCATGGTTCATTAGTATTCTATATTCTCCTTGTTCTGTCTTTATCGGGCCGTATATTGTTCTCATAATTTTTCTTTCAATTATTTTTAGTGTTTCTTCATCTTTTTTTGTATGACACATTAGTTCCGCTCCGTATGCTATTATCAGTTTAATAATTACCCAGGGTTCACGGGTAGACCCCAGCAAACCTGAGAAACCATACTTGAGATTAGGTAGTAGACCCCTGTGGAAGGTAAGATCAGGGCCCTCAAGGAAGGGAGAAATGGTCCCTTAAAAAAGTGGATCTTAAAAAAACGCCAAAAACATCCATGTGGAAGTAAATTTCAGAATATATAAAACCATCATACGGCCAATAGCAACATATGGCGCAGAAACATGGATCATGACACAAAAAAAAAACAATAAACCATAGTAATACTTTTGAAAGAAAGTTATTGGGGAGAAGATTGGGCCCCGTCTACAACAATGGTATGTAAAGAATAGGGTTCAATTTCTACAGAACAAAATCAAACATTCTTATTGAACATAAAGTTTATGAAATTAAGTAATTTACTTTTCAACTGATTGTAATTCAATTTTAAATTTTAAAAATTGGTGGTGCCCACTGATCATCACCTAATTACTAAACGATCTTCTTATATGGCTTTTACCTTAGCTACTTTTTTATGTATTGTCAGATTAATTTAATAAATCATTTCAGTAGAATAATGGAATATTTATATTTTAGATCCATGTACAAAAAGAAGTACTACGCCGATATAGTGAAATTTTAAAACTAAGAATGCCAATGAAAGAAGTAAGTATAGTCAGATAATATTCAAAATTTAAAATAATTTTAGTACGAATCTAATAGAAAAAACGTGAATATTGTAAAAAAATACTGTTAGTATTGTTCTTTTGAGTTGTTAGGTAATTGAAAATGTTTTATTTCAACTAGTTCTATTGTATTTTTTACGGTAAATTGAGGTGAAAATTTAGTTTGTTCTAAAATAATCTCCTAACAGGTTTTTAATGGTTTATATGATGTAATACAATATAATACAATACAATAGAACTAGTTGATAAAATAAAACATTTTCAATTACTTAACAACTCAAAATTAATTTCATTTGACGTCAAAAACCTTTTTCCTAGTATTCCTCCTACAGAAACTTTTGTTCTAGTAAAAGACCTTTTGGAAATACTATATATCATAGAAATTTGCATAAGGCAGGACGACTTTGAATTTAATAATCAAATACATACACATAACAGTGCAGGACTTATAATGCATAATCCTCTAAGCCCACTGCTATCAGATTTTTATGGAATCTAGAAACAAAGATTTCAAAACATCCCATATTCAAAGAGTTTTTAAATTGGTGGAGATACGTAGACGATGTACTGGTATGTTTTACAGTAACTAACGGACAACTTGACCAATACTTATCGTAAAAGAAAAAACCAATACCTTTTGCTCGATTACATATACAGGCAAGATATTAACAAAAATAGCCAAACACATAAAAAGAAAGAAATAACACCAAAACAATACCTTTTGCTCGATTACATATACAGGCAAGATATTAACAAAAATAGCCAGACACATAAAAAGAAAGAAATAACACCAGCTTTTAGAACAAACAACAACTTAGACAAATATATTAAGAACAACAAGAACCAGAAGAAAGAGCAATTACACAGCGGTGTATATAAACTACCCAAAAACTTACATCGGTCAAACTGGTAGAACTTTTATCAAACGTATAGCAGAACATAAAAGAGTTTTCAATAATAGAAAAACAGACTCTACGTATGCACTTCACCTTCTAGACGATAATCATTCGTTTAATGACGAATTTTAAATTTTTCACATTCAAAATAAAGACCTTAAGATATCTTTATTAGAATCTAGAGAAATTAACAAATTAAAAAATACAGACATAATTCTGAATGACCAACTTGAGACAAACAGTTCTCCCATCCTCAACTTATTCAGTTAAACTGTATAATGTGTAAACACATACCAAAATTGAGAAAGCACTCTGGCCGAAACAGCTGGAGTGATAATAATTTAAAATATATAAATTTTTTGGAAGTGTTGAAAACAAAAGTTTTCAGTGTTTTATTGTTAGACTAAATGTTTATCTATGTTTATTTGTTTACGAATCAATTCGTTGGTTAAATATAATCACTTTCTATTGGTCACAACACAATCTAAATATCTGTTATTTTCCATAATTTTCCTATTTACAAATATTTATCTTTATATGCTTATTTTTTACATCATTATCTTTATAATAGTCGTGAACTTATTTATTTCTGCCCTACCTTTCACTACCCACTCTTTACATTATCCCAACTGTATTTTCTATAATTTAATACCGTAAATATCTTTTTTCTTCAAACGTCAAATAATGATGACATTACTTATCTAACTTGATCCTGTCAAAGTTTGATGTCTCCGCCGGCAGCAGTTTTTTTCCCATTTCTTTACGGTGGAGGGAAAAATGTTGTCATGGCAACAATATGAAACATGTCACAAAGCAACAATACAAATGCCATTAACAACAATTAAACATCATTTTTATTTATAGTAATATTAAAAGTACAATTAGTTAATGAGGCATTTTCAAAATTGAAACCGTGCAAAAATGTTCCCGACTTTTGATACGCATTGGTAATTGTTGATGATACTGATGGTCGAGAACAACTTTTAGCAATCATTCCCGATGTTGGTGAATCATGAGGGTTTAAAATTTTTTGAGCATTATCGTTCTTATTTCTTATTGAATCCTCTATGTATCCTTCGGCAACCGTGCTTGATTTGAAGCCCCCATGTCGTTTGAGGCATTCTAGATTTCCGCCTCCATCAATTAATAGTGTTGCTGAAGTTCCTCGTCAAGAGTGACCCGTGTATGCGCTTGCATCGTTTAAATTTAAATAACTAGCTACTTTTTGGGCTACTGCGCTGATCGAATGTATTCCCATGACGCTTCGGTAACACTTTCCATTTTGGTACTTGATAAAAATCGGTTTTCTGTCAAATTTTCATGCCGCAGTGATGCATACTTTTTATATAGTTTAATGTAGTTTTGACCAATTATCGTAAAAGATCTAATTTGTCGTGTTTTACTGTCTGGGATTTTGATAATTATTACATTTACTTTATCCTCAATATCCACAGTCCTTATTTTTACCATTTCGTCGCATCGACAGGCGCCGGTAACCCCAATTAACAAAACAATCTGAAATATTTTTATAATTTAGTAGAGTATACTACATGCTTTGCAATATAATTTTTTTTACCTTTAATCCTAAATACAACTTATCTGGCGCTTCCAACAAAAAATTATCAAACTCGTCTTTAGTGAAAACTTTAGACTTCTTTGCAGTATATCCTTCGCTTGTTTTTTTTTTCAGAAAGGCACGTAACTGTAAAAATTTGCTTATATCCACATTTTATCATAGAGTATCGTGACCACAATGTAGAAGATTTCCATTTATTTTCATTTTCCATTATATTAAAATATGCCATTTCCATTATAAGTAAAACGTCTTTGGTAACTTGCCATACTCCTTTTGTATCGCACCACTCTTGGAAGTGCTTGTACGCTAACCGATACTTTATTCCGGACTTGGAGGGCCCCAAACGTGCTACTGCATCATTAGTAGCGGACTCAATTTCGTTTAGGTTTTCCATTTTCGCACTAAATTTGCGCTTGCGATTACAACAACAATAAGCTGTCTTTAATAATTGCAAACAACTGTAACCAGGGAGACGCAAATCCCACCGACGACTTAATTATTTTAATTTCTAACATCTAGACGACTTTGATAGTTGTCACAGTTAATTTCGAGTAAAAATAGCGTATGAATTGTACTATTTATGGTTGAAAATTGCTACGTTTGAAGAAAAAATGGTATACTTTATTCGGCAAAGAAGCGACTTTTCTTGACTTGCCCTCTATTACGCGCCTCACTTCGTTCGGCGCGCGTCATGCTTCTCCGCCTCATAAAGTAATATACTATTCTTTCGTGCTCGGTTTAATAAAATAAATAATAAATAAAAAAAATTGATTGAACTTTTTAACCATAAAATTATATATTTATACCCAGTTACTCCCCGCATAAATTCGACAAGCTAAACTAAAAGCGACTAATCTTATCAGGTGGCTTTGACGCGATGCGCGAGCATCTTAACTACCTCTTCCCCTTTCACTCCCCTTAAACTCCTAGTCATAAAGTACATATTGAGCTGCATTTTTTTGAAACTTTGAACAGTATGTATTGTTTCTTTGCAACTTCATCTTCACACTAGGAAGTTCTACGATAATGTGCCACTGACATTGAAACCTAAAAGTAAGACAAGATAGTCTGCAAGATTATATACTCTCGAAGCTGTGTATAAATATTACGGTAAAGTTGTACAGGCTCTGGAGGATGTTAAAATCAATGATATCTCAACAACTGTAAGTACTACCAGCTTCCTTTTTAAAAATATTGGGAAACTTGAATTCATCATTTTGGTGTATTTTTGACATGCTTCGTTGATAAGGATCACTCATGTCAATGAGTATTTGAAAAGAAAAGATAGACAGTAAATTTGGCTGCTGTAAATGATTTGCCATCAGAGCTCTCAGAAACAAATGCCTGATGACCTGTGTGACGATTAACAGTCCTTAACAGTGAAACTTGAACCGACAAGTGCTGATATTGTGTACCGATTAGCCATGTTAAAGGCAATTGACCGGATGATTACGAAACTAAGGCTAGGGACAACGTAAACAGCAAGGATGGATTTTTGAATGTAATTCAAATTGAAGAAATTCAAATAAAAGATCTAAAAATAAAATCAGGAAAATTGGCTAACATTTGCATTGCTGATCTGAACATTGAAGAACGTAAATTTGAAATAGAAAGTTTTATATGCTTTATAAGTTGACGAAAATTTAAAGCAAGCCACATCAAGAGAAATGTCAAGTCCTATTTCTCAAAATAAACTAGAGAAAGGCTACCCTAGTATTACCACTGCACTTAAAATGATTCTCGCGCTGCTAGTCACAGTTTCATCTGAAGAATGAAGACTAAGCAAACTTAAAATCATCAAAAACGACATGAGATGTACACTGGGATAGGAAAGACTCTCTAGTATAAGTGAAACATTAATTGAACTCAAACCAGCATCCCTTACCATCTCATGAAGGCATCATCAATACATTTGTAGCTAAGAAGGCTCGAAGAACTTAATTTTGAGGTACACTACATAACAAATTTTTGCATATTTGGAATTGAGTTATAAAATACAAAGAATTTATTTCTATCACTTATGTATAATAGCTGTAATAATGTATTTCCAGTAAGTGTTTTTCATAAATAAAACTTCTTAATAGCTTACGTAGGTATTATATCTTAGCGGTGTTGATGGGTGGGCTAAAGAGAATGGGCAAAGAGGACAGCAAACTGATCTTTGCCGCTGCCCCCTACAAATCTACTAGATTAATCTTATTATTTTTATTTTATTTTTTTACTTAATACTAATTTACATTTTCTTGATCTTACTTTTCTATATTTTTGTTTCTTTTACTTTTATCTCTTACTTTTTATTATAGGTTTTTTCTAGAGATCCGGAAGAAACAGAAAGATATAATGTCTTTACTAGTATTGGCCAAAAGGTATATTATTATCACTATTTTTCATAACTTTGGTGTGGGAATAATTTGCTTCACTTTACTAACACTGTTTAACACTTGTATATATAGTAATTATTATTCCTAATAAATTCCAAATGTTTCCACTAGTTTTACATTTAAATTT